ATAAAGGTATAATGTATTACCGGGCCTTGGAATGACTGGATTTAACGTAAAGAGTAGTTAAGGAGAAAGCCATGGTCAAATGTAGGGGAGTACAGCATAGACGGTAAAACAAGTCAAGGTCAGGAACACAGAAAACGGAGAAACAATTAAACAAACCAAAGTCAGTAACAAGAATATCAAAATATATAAAGCACACTCTTGGGTATACAAGAACCACAACAGGGCAACTTGCTAATGAAAAGTCCTGGCTTATAAAGTCAGAGGAAGCCCAGAAAGGTGGGCGAAACGCGTCACGCAGATGTCATCGGTAAGGCGGTCCCGGAAGTCATCACGTGAGTGGAACATTTGAAACCTAAGGGAACACTCCAAGCACCATAACCATTACACATGCTGTAGTGGGTAGGGTGCAAGAAGTGCCCTGGTACACGCCACCCCCCAATTGAAAGCAACAACTTAGTTCGATTTCTTACCATGGCATTTCTTCAAATCACTTCATGCTTCAAATACAGTCCCAGATTTATTTATTTTTTAAGGGAGGTGGCTAGGGAATTGGAAACCCCTAGGCACTCATATTTTGGAGGGATGTGTAGATGCCACTGTATAATTATTTATACATGTGCCCATGTGCTGGGACTTGGAAGGGAGAAACTAAGTAAACTGTTACATAAGTCCCCAGGTGACTGTTACACCATAGGCCTTTTTAATTATTTTTTATTCTTTACTTTATTAATTTGGCAGCTGGCTCTCAAGTGTTGTCCAACCATCACATGATTAACTGTCGCATTGCCGAGGGCTTTTATCTGTTTGTCCTATGTCTGCTAGCATGGTCAGCAGGCAAATTGTACTTGACATGAATTCAATTACAAAATTGCAATATCGTCACTAAGGTTTCATCAAAATGGAGTAAAAACTTACTTCCACTTGACTTCATACTGACAGACCTATCTTCTGTCCATTCTAACACATTTTCAATATTTATAGATAATTCCTGTTGATTTTATGCCATCACCTGATTTTCTCTTATTGTAGACTTCACACTGATGTATTATTTCTGTACTCTGTAATGATTTCTCTACCATTTACGCCATAATTTTTCTGTTGCTTCCCACTCAGATATAATTTGATTATCTTCCCATTTGTTTTCTAGGCTTCAGAAACTTCAACCTGCACAGAACAGGAATGGAACCAAAGCTTTTAGCAATAGATCTTGATCAAAATATCAAACTACAATGGAAAAAAACACAGTCACCCAAGGGGTCTAGAAAAATACCCCTCTCTGTCTCATTAGACATATCTTTGCCTGAAGCTCAAGAGGCAAGGTGAATAGCCAGTGTAGGACCCACCTGAGAGGTTTGCCTTAACGTGGCAGGTGGACTTCCATCTAATGGTCATTGGAGTTACTAAATAACCTCCATTTGTTTAAATATGCATAGGGATCTGGGAAGAGCACGGGTACATTTTTTTTCGTTTTGATATTTATTAACCAGTTTAAAGAATAAAATGACACTGTAAGGACTTCACTATAACACCCCACAAACACCATTTACAGTTGTATAGCTTTGCATACCAGCAAATCAGTGATTACTTAGTGATGTCTAAAGTCAGGAAGCTACAAGTTTTGCTTTACATAGTAAAAAAAATTAAGATTAGACATTTTTGGGAGATTTATAAAAGTGTTCTAAAAACTGTCCTAAAAAGTTGGGAAATATCTAAAAAGGGAAGAGTAACCGATGGAATGATGACACATTCTTTGAATTGAATATTGCACATGCGCCACGCCAGATGTGGGAAGAGACACACCTGTGTTGGCTTGGATTCCAATTGTGGAAGTACTTATTCAGATCGCCGGAAGGACGCTACAGCACTGAAGAAGACTCCAGGAGGAGTTTAAATGCGCTTGCTGGGGACTTTTCTGGGACTCTTTCATTATTGTTTGCTGTGTTTTTTAGATCTAGTGCCCTTTTTATATATTTATTCACTGCTTATTTGCCCTTATGCCTTACTTATTGAATAAAGTTCATTCATTCACCGTATAAAGGTTTCCTGCTACTTCTCTCTATTGTGCTAGCCTTTTTAGGCACCCAGGAGCCTTTATATAGAGCCTGTTAAGGCTCTATATATTGTGAGTGTTATCCTTCTTGGGAGTCTAAAGCTTCATTGATTTAGACAGTCTGCAGTGTTTCTTATTTTTATTTTGCAGATTGTGCCTGTTTTGATCTCTATTTTTAACTATCTCTATGCGCATTTCCTTGGTGTAGTATTTATTTATGTCTTTTCCAAGTGTTAGGGGATACACTTAAAATACTACACCTAGATCGTTCAACGTGATGACGTGAATCGGAACATCTCCGTGCCGTAAGGGGGAGGGAGTAACTGGAGCCAACCCGCATGGCGAACTAACAGCTAATGAGCGGCGATCCCACGCTAAGATCAAAGCTGCAACAAATGAAAGAAAACCAGAGGCTATTTGGATTTCTTGTACCCGAGACTCCTCTACTCCCCCCATCTAAAGACACTTGCTTATGTTTCTTTCCTCCTACAATTCTCGTTTGGGATACCCGCGAAAACCAAACTGAGAGGGAAGAGTTGGGGCGGAGACAGACACTGTGAGTCAAAGAGACTGCTGAAACTGTGTGGAAAGTAAAGGTCTTTTAACCTTTGGAAGTCTCCTGTATCCCAAGAAATCCTGAGGTGGGGATCAATCCACCTACGCTGATATACAAGAGCAGTCGGTCTGCTCTCCATTTGTAAGTACATTTTTATTTATTTATATTAAGACTACTATACAGTGAGTACTATCGGCTGTCTCTTCTTTTCCTTATTTGCGAGTTGGACACCAGTGACGGAGAGATACCCACTACGTATCCCATAAGCGGGGATTATACCGCTGTATGCGCTTTTACCCTAGAGCTGGACATAAGCTCTACCAAATGTGAGTTCTCCACTATTATTTCTTAGCACGTTAATATTGGAATTATACAATACTACACTATTGGTCGTCCCTCTCTCTCTCTTTTTGTCTTCTATATAAGTGGAACCATTACAGTTTATGAAGACTTCACCATTGCACTTTCTGTTGTAAAGACCACTCGCAAGGACACTTAAGTTGGACTTCTTTTTACTTATTGGACTTATTTTATCTCCCTTGTGGTGCAGCCTTTTTATTGTTGTTTTTAACAAATCTCTTAATAGTGTGATGATCACGCTTACGTTTTCATGAAATAGCTAATGTTTTCATACCTCGTCCAAGGCACTGAACTATTACACTCTTTTCGGCAGCAGAGAGATC